CGCTGGCCAGGCGCGGCAGGGCGCCCGCGCCGCGCCCCTCGGGCGGGCCGTCCACACTGTCGCCGCGGCGCAGCGGGGTGCGGTGCCGCTCCAGCGCGGCGGGGTAGCGCGCGCCCGGGTCGCTGTGCTGCCGGGCGCGCTGCCACTGCTTGCGCAGGTGGGCGCGGGAGCGCAGCTTGGCGCGCAGCGGCGACTCGTCGAACTGCGGGTCGTGGCGCACGAAGGCGTGGAAGAGCGCGTCCGTCTTCTCGTCGATGCTGTAGTCGCGGCGCGGGAGGCCCTCGCGCGCGGGAAAGAGCTGCCCGTGCGGCGCCCAGGCCAGTGGGCTGTGCGGGAGCGCGCCCCCCGCGGCCCCGCCGGCCTGGGCCTCGGCCTCGGCCTCCTCCTCGTCCTCGTCCTCCTCGGCCGGGTCGCGCTCCTCGAAGCTCTCGAAGACGGTGGCGCGGCGCCCGGCGCTGGTGAAGCAGGAGCGCTTCTCGGAGGCCGTCTGGTCCTCGCCCGCGCGCCCGCCGGGGCCCTCGATGGAGGCGTAGCCGCTGTCCATCTGCAGCAGCTTGCGCGGCCCCGCGTCCGCCTCCGCGCCCTCGGGCTTGGGCTTCCCCCACGGCCGGTCGTCCCCCCCCTCGGCCTCGTCCGCCAGCGAGGAGAGGGCGCTGGGCGGGCCGCCGCTGGAGGAGGCGCTGTCCCCGCCCTCGCTGCGGATCGAGTCCCGGTCGTTGCCCTGCTCGGCGGAGGCGCACATCTCGAGGGAGGCCCGCAGGCTCCAGATGTCGTGGCAGACGGGGGTGGGCTGCTGGTCCGGAGGGGGGGGCTCGGCCGGGGCGGGGGCGGACGGCTCGGAGCGGTCTAACCTGCAGGCGGGAGACACGGACCGTTTGCATGGCCGAGCACAAAGCGCGAAGGGCAGCCGAGGGGGGCTGGCCTCCCACTCCACCCCGAGTCCCGGAACCCAGGATGGGAGCTTCGCTTGCCCCGAGACCCGTTTGGTCGCCGGTGTGGCGGGAAGACAGCCTTGATACCACTCCAGCCAAGCCCACCTCGCTGGACAGCTTTGGGCTTGTCCGGAAGAAAGCGAGAACGCTTCCTAGGGGAGTAGGAAGGGAGCCCCTTCCCCAAGATGCAGCACTTGCAAAGGAGTTGCTTTTACTGTGCCTTTGCACCCGGGAAGAAGGCACATCTGGTCCCAGAGACCGCGTGATGTGCACGCAGCTCATTGCCAAACCAGAAACAGGATCTTAACTGGGAGGCACTGGGGGGGAAGCTTGGAACAGGTCAAGGGGTCCTCGCTCTGCTCTCTACAGATCCCAGGTTCCATTCACAGCGTCCCAGGATAAAAGCCGTCAGGACCAGAAAGGTTTGCCCATTGCCGCTGCCCCCATTAAACACTTTCTCTTTCATTCCCCTTTAGTGCCTTTTCATGCCACTCCACCGTCCTGGCTGGCTTCCAAAGATGAAAGCAGTAAACAAATAATATAAAGCTAACACACACATATATATACATGGGACCCTTTTAAGGACTCAGTTATAATTCCCAGGACCCATTAGAAGCTATTAGGAGTCCATATAGCAAATTATTATAGAAAACATGATTCTTCTTTATTATAGTTGAGTGGCATTCAGATCAAAGCATCTGGAGTACTTTTTCTAGACGAAATCTTTACAAGTGCCCTCTCCAGTGAGTCAGTCACATAATAGTTCTTCATTTTGCAAACAGTGGTGAAGGAAGCCCAACCTGAGAAGGTTCTCAAAAGAGGCTTCATGTTTTACAGAAAAGACAAGTTTCAGTTCTTGGCTCTGTCTCTTGGCCATGACACGCCACCAAACATTTTTCCTTCATTTTTTCCTTTATTTATTTTTAATTCTGGTTCCCTGCACTACACCCCTGTTGCCATGATTTCAACCCCCAAATTTGTCAGGGGAAGAGCAGCTTGGAAGATGGGCAGACCCCCAAGGGCACCCATTTGCTGCCCGTATGGCACAAGCCGATGCCAACAGACCATCCCTCTTCTGGGAAAGGTTTCTCAGGTGCGTGCGATGGGGCAGAGCCAAGACCCCATGCTGTTGCTTTGCAGTCCCACGGGAGCATCCATAAAAACTCTACACTTGCCTGAAACATGCATGCATCCATCTTCCTCCCCCCACCCCCTTCCGTTCCCACTTATCTACTAAAAATACCTGCCGATAGATTGTGTGGGGCTGGCAGGAGGGGGCAGGAGTGGCCCGGCCACAGGTCGGAAGACCACGTTGTCCGTCCGCGCAATGTATTGGATGATGTCAGTCTGGTGGGCATCCCGATCTTCTTGGTCCATGCTTTCGCTCGCGGCACGTTGCCTCTGGAATTGGTGCCGCTTTGGAGACCCTGAGAAGAGCGGGAAAGGAAGTCAGATCTTCCCAAGCTGAGATTTGTACGTGTGATGCGGAAAGAAGGGCCTGCGGAGGAGGAGGAGGAGGAGAACATGGTGGAAAAGGGGAAGGAGAACATGGTGGAGGAGGAGGAGGGAAGACTGCATTCTCTGCTGTGCTTGGCTTGGTGCTTCAGTCACAGGGAGTGTCGGGAAGGGGGTCGCACTCATACTGTTTGAGAAAGTTTTTAAAAGGTTATGGGAGAGGTCACAGTTTAGCTTAAATGGGGGTCTTTCCCCCACTAATTCAAGCAAGGTACGACGGGACTGATTTGTCACCACAAAATACGGGAGCATATTACCCTTGGACACGTTTGCCAGGTGCTTATCTCACCTGCTGCCCTTAAAGAAACAAATCAAAACCGCACAACTGTTTTGCTTGCTGCACACCCTTCCAAACACCTGAGGAGCCCTAAGACCATGAGGCGTGGCCCACCGGGTAAAGGCCGGATGGCAGAACAGCTTTTCAATCACCCAGAGGCCTCGTTCAACCTATATATTCCTGGGCTGAGCCTGACTCCCTGTGGATCTGACCCTCAGACCTTTCTCTTGACCAGAGCAAGGAGCTGCCATAGCCTCTGTGTAGTTTCCGGGCTCTATATCAGCCCTGCAAGTTGCAGGATGAGCCCCAGAGAGCTGCCCGGGTAATCCGATGTGCTGCAGGAACAGGGCTTGCTGCATGTTGTCCTTGTCGGCCTGTCACAAAGCAGCCATTTACCAACAAGCAAACCTGCAACATTCAGGGAATCCCTTTGCTTTGCTGTGAGCCCAAAGCACATGGCAAGGGGGACTGAAAGAGGAAAAAGCTTTGCTTTTGACCCTTCGGTATTTTGTATCAGAAAAGGCAAAACAGGCAGCTTGGAAATAAAGGAGGACACAAATGGCGAACCGTATGTTTGACCCCACCTAGTCTAGCGAACGTGCCCATTTCACAGATGGCGAAACCATGAGCAGCACTAACACAAAGACCCACTAGTACAGGGCTGGATGGTCAGAGCCATTTGCTCTGGTTCTGAGACATAACGTCTGCAACCTCCGGCATGTCGTGGCCCCTGCAGGGTTACCCACCACGCGTATCCAGGCTAGAGGCTCGCTGGCTCATCTCCAGCTTCCACTTTTTGATCTTGAAATAGGGGCTGGCACCCTCCAGGCTGGTGTGACGACGCAGGCGGGTGAAGAAGTGAAGGACGTTGCCCGGAGAACGTGCTGGCGGGTGCCCCTTGGCGGCCCCACTGCTGACTCTGCCCCCCTTGGGACCCCGGGGTTCAACGTCAAGCTGGAAGACGGAAAGGAAGGGGGTTAGGTCCCCGGGGAACGTGCTGTGGTTTAACAGATCCCACAGCAGAGGGGATGTGAGCAACCCCGTGGCTGCAGCTTCCCGGGCAAGGAGCTGCCGAGTTGGAGCACACTTTGCACACTCTGTGAGCGTGCAAAGAGGGGAAGCTCAAAGCTACCTGCTCAGGGTCTGCGGGGGCTGCTATTCTGCAGAGCATTTCTTGAATGGGCAATCTGTCCCACCCCCACCCCCATCTACGCCGGAGACCGACTCCCAACAGAGACAATAGCAGCTTTGTGGAGGTGAGTCGAAAGAGCCACCTGCAGTTTTGGACTCCGGGGGACAGGGAGCAGAGGCATGACTGCAGACGATCCTTCAGGGGCTATGGACCCACCGGGGAGGCTGCCCACCTGGGGGAGTGCCCACACATCCACCTGGAGAACAACGCCTCTGGCTGGACAGGCCTACCGAGGTGCCCTCGCTGGAGTCCGACGAGATGGTGGCGCTGGCCTCGACGGAGGAGTTGAAAGTGTCTCCAGGCAGGGCTGAGCTGGGGCACATTGCGTGGCCAGTCAAAGCGGTTTGCGGAAGTGTCCCTCCCAGCGGCTGCGGAAAGGAGAGCAAGAACGGGTGTCCAAGCTGGGCCGAGAGGCAGCCCAGGGGCCCTCGCGCTGGATCACGGCCTCTCACCCCAGCCACTGAGTCCAAACCCGAATTTGACCGACTGCTGCTCTTCATCCCTCTGATGGCCAATATTCTCACTGCTCGCAGGGGCTTTTCCTGTGGCTCAGAGCAACTAGCACAACGCACAACATCTCCCATTTGCCACCTTCGAGGAAGGCTTGTAGGGGAGCGACAGTCGGAAGGGACTTCGCAGCGGTGGCCCTGGGATTATGGAACAACGGCTGAGCTGAAGCCTGCCTGAATCCAGCACTGGCATTTATTTACTGTGAGGGTGTGCTGTGCCCCCATGCACTGGATGCGACTAAGAGGCGCACGAGGGGGGATTCTGCCCAATCGCTTTCTAGCATAGGCAGCATTTTTACTGAAATAATTCAGTCCTGGGGTCCTGGATCCAATCAAGCCAGAGCTTTGCCTGGAAGCAAAAACGACAAGACGGGGCTGTCCTACTTTGGGCCCGTCCTGAGAAGGCAAAACTCTCCGGAGAAGACAATTGTGCTAGAGAAAGTCGAAGGCCGGAGCGGCAACGGAAGGCGAGACGGACGGGCTCCGCCAAGGAAGCCACGGCCCTGAATTTAGAGCTGAGTGTCTCTCCCGCGGCAGGGCTTTTTGGGGGGCCTTCGGGCACGGGGTCTCCACAACCCAGCTGCATGAACTAGAACAACAAGATCGCCATCAGGATAAATGGCAAATTCTTCCAGGCCCACTACCGGTCCAATCTGTTGCATTTTAACTGTCATATTACAGATATTCATGCTTAGCCGCTTTGGAAATTTGCTTCCGGAGTTTAAAGGGGGATGCCAATCTTGGGAAAAGCATAAAAACATTTCTCACATAAAAGCAAAGACCTTCCTGTTGCACAGAACTCTGTAAAAAGGCTAACAACTTCCTGCCAAACTCAAAGGTGCATTTTTGGGTGTACCCACCCAAGGGAAAGCATTGTAGGATATTATTTATCCGCATCTTTGCAGTCTGACACATCTGAAGTCTGAGTAGGCTGCTGCATGCACAGTCTTTTATAGAGCAATCTGAGCCAAAGCAGGCAAACATTAGAGCATGCTAATTCAGAATTAGATGGGAGAGCGAGAAGCTGCAACTGTCTAAATTCTCCCTTCTGCCTCCCTGGATAGACTGAGTGGTGTCAGCTGTTACCAGTCAGAGTACAGAAAACTTTGAGGTAGGTGACCACCAGCCTGCCCTGGCATTAAGTCTGATTTGAGAACCACGAGGACTAGAACCTTGAGTTTTAGAGGAAGGACAGCTGCTCTATGGCTAGAATAAGGGGAATGGCTACCCGCTGCTGTGTTGGAGGTTGCAGCACGTGCTTCTGGACACACCTGGAATATGGCAAGGTTGGGCTTGGCGGGGGGGCGTCTGGGGGTCATTTCTGCACTGTCATTGGATTCACACTCATGGATGGTGACGATTTTGAGAGCAGGAGGAGGAGGCAAGGGCAGGTGGATGAGGCGGGCGTTCTTCAGGTGGTGGAAATCTCCCTCTGTCAGAGTATACCTGCCGGAGAAGATCAGAAGAAGGCCTGCTCTGTCGGCAGTTCACAAGCAGCCGGTGCCTCTGGGAGCTCCCCGGACCCCAAGACCCTGTTCAGGCACGGCAGGCCCTTCGACCCGCTTGAGTTCGGCTCCCGGACACTGGATCCTTCAACCTGGGGGCCTCGCGAGGCCCCCTGCCCATCTCCACCTGCACCTCGCTTGAACCTGTGACTCACCTCCGGCCCTTCTCGTGTGTCTTCTTGCTCTGCTCGAAGAGGGCAGCCTCGTTGAAGGAGACCCGCCGCCCCGTCGAGCTGCCAGAGGACAGAAAGCGCTCGCTCTCCGTGTCCCGGTGGCTGGAGCTCGACGTCCCATCAGGGTCGTCCACCTTGATGGTGATCTCTGTGGCAGCAAAGAAACAGGTTACGAGCTGGTGCGCCTGCAGTGGGCGATTCAGACTTGGACGAGGGGAACGGGGCCGTTGTGGAGGATGGAGCAGCCCAGTGCTTCTGGGCTGAGGGCCTAGGCCAGGGCTCGGCAACCCACGGCTCCGGAGCCGCACGTGGCTCTTGAACCCGCTGCTGCGGCTTCGTCCCTCAAAACACGAGGTGTGGACACAGCTGCCGACCTGCTCGAAGGAAGCTCCACTCAGGAATCCTGCACTAGCTGGTTAAGTGAATCGCTACCATTCTCTGCTAAACAAGCTCCCTGCAGGCTCTCGTGTTACACGAAACGCTGCTGAAAGGATCCTCTTTGTCCCAGTGTAATCTCCTTCCTCTGACTGTGAAAAGCTGCGCTTGGGACCTGTCACAATTCACAGCACTGGACTGTTCATCTGCTAATCAGTCACTAAACACATCTAGATCTCTGGCACAGCCGCTGATCTATAGTGCTGATTTACTGAGCTCCCCACCACACCAGGGCCAACGATGGACAAATCGAAGAAAAGAAAAGTTTCTGAAGAAAACCAAACATTTAATGATACGTGGGTAGATTCATTTGCTTTTACTGCTGACAAACTTATGGGGTTTGCTGTTTAATGCATGCAGCCCTTTAGCACTGGCTTTGACTCTGCAGGAAGCTGTTCTCCTATTCAAATTATATGAAAGGAGTCCTACTAGTTTATAATGTAAGATTAAAAATAACAGTTTTTAGTGACTGAACAAGAGCTGCAGCGAAATCATAATGAAGATTTACATAGCATTACGGTAAAAAGCGATACATGCAGTGTGATCTTCATTGTAGGTGTCAAAGGGTTCTGCGGCTCCTGGCGTTTTCTTTTCTGTGGGAAACGGGTCCAAATGGCTCTTTGAGTGTTTCAGGTTGCCGACCCCTGGCCTAGACTATCACGGGAGCGGGCACAGCCACCTGGTCAACATGCTGACCAGAGGCGTGCAGCATTTCATGCCTCTCTCCTGGGCCGGCAGGCCGGTGGTCCCCAGCCTGGAGGGGCCAGGATGCCCACTCTGGACTTCAGCGGAGTTGTCCATGGTGGCGAACCTATCTGGGGACTCCAGCACCGTGCACAGCTCTTTACCAGTTCAGAGGACCTGGACTGGATGCCCTGCCCCGCTGACCTGCGGGAGAGCCCCAGCTCCCTGGAGTGCCCCCCACAGCCCCCTTCCGTGGGCGCTGGTGCCCCATCTCGTGCGGTGTGATGCGAGGCAGTCCTCTGCTGCACAGCCCCCGATGGGTGCTTCGGGGGAGGGGAAATTAGCCATGCAGCCTCGCCAAGAAGGTCGGCAGGTAGGCGAAGCACGGCAGGATGCAGAGGGGGCCGTTTCCACGGCAACCCTTCCCTAGTAACCGAGCCTGTACCACCAAGCCTACCGATAGCAACCCAAGGACTACCTTTCCAAAGAAGCGAGCACCTCACCTTGGGTCGGCTGGGAGTCGTCCAAGTAGGTCGTGTTGGTTTTTTCTGGGTCATCGCCGGCTCTAAAGCAATACGGAGAAGATCCCAAGCGGATGGGTATCAAGGAACAGCCGGATGGGCGAAGAAGAGACCCCCTCCCCAATTCCAAGCATCTCTGAACACCAGTGGGTGACCCCCTCCCAGAGCAGAGTCCCTGGCCACAATCTGTCCAGAGTTTAACTCCTCCACCTGCAGGCCAAGGCACAGAGGCTGCGATTGGCCCAAATTTGCCCAGGACAGGTAGCAGACAGGTTCTGTCTGAAGGCAGAAGGGGCAGGCTAAAACACTGATGGATTTTAATCAGATGTTCTACCCCCCCAGTAATGCAGGACTTAGGAGAGGTATTTGGACCTTTGAGAGTTGTGGGGAGAGCGCACCCCAAAACCGGGGAATTGCCAAACGGCTTCCTTCACAGAACCTCCCTTCTCTTTTCTGTACTTTTTTCTGTTACCTGGACTGCCGACGCTCCGTCTCACAGCAGTACCGGCAGATGATCAAGACGCCACAGAGAATCACCAGTGTGCCACTGGCAAAAATGGAGAGAAAAACCAGCAAGTGCACGTACCCATCCTCATCGGAGCCGACCTCCCCAGGCACTGTCTGTAAGGTGAAGTGGGCGGTGAGAAGGTCACAGAATTGTTTTTTTAAGTGCTTTTTATGAGAATCAGGCTCTTGCACGTGACTGTTCAGCTCGAGCAGTTGGGATGCTGATGAGCATTCCGTGACCACGTGATATTGTGGGGGAGTTTGCCTCAGCTCTTCGGTCTTTCATGCACAAGCTGGCAGGGCTTGCAAAGCATCATCCTCACCCGGTCAGAACTGAGGCGCGCAAGAGGCTGAAGTTTTCAACAATGCTCTGGATCTCGCTTGGGACAGGAGAAAGAGCTCTCCTACCTAGCAGTGACAAATTCAGCAGCGTGCTGACATGCCCGCAAGTGCCAAAGCAAACTGGGCTTTCTCAGCTCAAGCAAATGTGACTGAGCCTCCCTTATTTTGAAGAATGGAATTCATTTTGCTTTATCTTGTCTCTGCTCCTCTCCAAGCACACAGAGACTTTGTCTTCTGTGGCCAAGCCGTTTCCTCTGTTTTTTTATTTTTGAAGTGGAGCAGCCTGGAAAAGTTGTTCCCTGATGCCATTTGCCTATCTACAGGCTTCCACACCCCCAAAATCTGCAGATTTGCACCTGAGGTGCTGAACTGGGGGACTATGGGCCAAGCTTGGCTCACACAGGGGTCTGCTCACAGTAGTAGCTTTTGGCGTTCAGACATGTGTGTTTCCTTAACTCCAAATGTCAGCTCACGCTTCCAAGAGGCTGAGGGCCCTGGTATTGCCCAGTCGGCCGAAGAAAGAGGGGCCAAAAGTACCAGAATGTCTCTGCTTAATATTCTTGTTGTGCTCATGGGGCTTTGGGGGAGGAATTTGAGTTTTAGAAGCGGGGAAACCTGCACATAAGCCAGGAAGAAGTTATGGGGAAGGGACAGAAAGACCCTGCTGCCGAGGGCTGGAGCACAGCTCTAGGAATTTCACACGTATTGAGTTGCCCACCTTGGCTTGGCTGCTGGCAGGAAAAAGTGAAGTTACATTTGCATTTGGTACAAAGGGTATAGCCTGGAAGATCTTTGACTAACCCCCTTTGGAGCGCATGGTGCATGGAATATCCCATCCTCCGCAATTCCTCCCCAGGCTCAGTCGTGAGGCTAGCAACTAAAATGTCAACACAACAGATGCAACCCTCTTGGAAAGCAGCACATTCCACTGGGGGCCAGGCTGTGGGAGGGACTGATGACCCAGCTGTGCCCCTCCTCTCCCCGAGACACCTGTCCCCAAGGGAGAGCAGCCTGAGAGAGGCACCGCTGGTGTAATTCCTCCCACAGACCGATTCTGGGCAGCAATACTTCCCACCCATGTTTCCCAGCAACTAGCACAGAAAGGCAGACTGTACTGGGTTCTCAAGGCAGCTTATGGTCATGAGGACTAGTAGCCTTATGAAGAACTTGACAGCATCTGACCTGAACCACATGGCAGAAAGACTGATTCCCACTGCAGGACTGAGGCCTGATAGCCAAAGTGGAACATCAGATCAGACCATTTAGATTGGCCTTTGACCCCCACTCCCTAGGAGCTTTGGACCACAGCTCCCACCAGCCCCAGGCAACAATGTCAGTGGGGAAGGCCTTGCAAAGCCTTATCACATTGCGGTGCCCTGGCCACACAACTCTTCCTCGCCCCATTGATAGTTTCCGGGCTTCACTAACACACACGCTCTGAAACCCCAAGCTTTTTAGGACTCATGGGTCCATTTGGGGATTGCAGAATCTGTGCCGTCAGAAAAAGCCCAGACACTTTGGGCTCCACATTCGGTATCTACACATCTTTGGCTGCAACTTGTTTGGCAAAAAACTTTTGTTTTGTGTCTATCGAACACCTCAGTTGGGTGAATTTCTGGTTAATATGGCCAATGGTTCCTTGAAACGTATATTTTGGCGAGGTCTTGCGGTTGGGAGGAAGTTGTTCCACAGGTAAATACTGCATCACAGCAGTCTTGAATGTCCACTGATGAACACGGTCTTTTAAATTGTCTGCCTGTTTCTTGGACATTAAGGATCAACACCTATGGATTCTGTGCGCAATGCTCTCGATACATGGAGAGGAGGTAAATACGTGCCGTCTTAAAATGGCTATTTTATAATTAATTTTTATACTGCTCGACAGCCGGTGTTAATTGAGCACTTGGTCCACTTTTGTGGGTAATTGCTAGAAAATGGAATGGATGTTATTAAAATCCATGTATGTATATGAAAAAGATTGAAGCTTTTTTAAAAACTCAAGAACAACTGGGGAGCTTGTGGGAACCACGTCGGAAACTGCTTTACAGGGCACCCATCGGTGCTGCTACTTTAACAGGTTGGAGCTGCCCTTTGATGCCACGTTGTGAAAACTTTAAGTTAAACCCCACTGGTCTTTTCTGATCGCACCCCTTTTGGGGCCAGCCCCAGCCCCTCTGCCCCAAACCGAAAGCTTTGCCAAAACCTTGTATGTGTGACCTAATTGGCTGCCGAGTCCCCATTGTTTCAGCATCAATAAAATTTAGACTGTAAGTTCCATGGGGCAGAGCCCCATCTTTTGATGGTGGGCATACTGTGCCTGCCGTATTTACAATTATGCAAATCCGGAGGATATCAACAACAACAACCAACTAGACATTTTCCAGGACAGAAACAGCAATACCTGAACTTGTTGGATTCCAGCCCCTCCGAGCAGGCATGCAGAAGCTGAGTCACAGACTTCTAGCCCTCAGTGACCAGCAGAAAAGTCTTTATCCTCCCCACAAGCTACACTGGTTTAAGGGCTTGGCAATAGGCTAGTCCTCTGCACAGGAGTTTCGGTTTTCATTTTATTCCGTATCGAAGTATAGAGACACATAAACACACACAGGCCCTCGTCATTCTGCAGCCCAGCCTTCCCGTGTCTGCTCGCTGCCCTCCCAATCTACCAGACCACAACTCCCATAATCCCCTGAGTCAGCTATGAGTACCTGGTTGGAGACGGCTGTTTATTTCTTGACACACGCCTCGTGATGTCTGTTCCACCTCTCCAGGGCTGACCACAAAGAGAGGCAGAGCAAAAACAGAGCGGGGGGCGGGGGGGAGGTCCCACAGCACCCGTGCCCCAGTCTTGCAGCCTTAGCCCCACCTCCGCCCCGCATACACTCACCTCTATGGCTTCGGTCGTGGTGTTGCCCCATAGACTCAATTCATCATTCATGGTCTGCCGCCGAGTCGAGCTGCCCTTCCAGAAGCCAGACACGCTGAGAATGGCGATGATATAAAACAGGGTGTTAAAGAACAGAGCAGGAGAAAATTACATTTGCACTGCTCGGAACGGGTAGAGGAGGTGGAATGCGAGGTGCGGCGAGGCAGCCGTCCCCCTCTTCTCCTCGCTTCTCTCGCCGGCCTCCTCTATCTCAGTCCGCCATCCTTTCCGCCTTCCAGCTCACATGTTCGGCCCGAACAACAATCACAACACGGCTCTGGCTGGTGTCACTCACAGCATCCTTCATTCCATCTTCTGGCACCGAGCCTGAAGCAGCGCTTGCTCCGTCCTCCCCGCTGGGTTTCCTCTGGCAGCCTGAGAAGATTCGACTGGGCAGGAGGAAAAGAGAGGGGGCGGTTGGAGTTGGGCCTGCTTTAGGAGAGGAAGGAGCCGGCCGGTGAGGAAGAGGAGGAGAGACCTCGGGCAGGGATGCTGGCCGCGCTCATCCTGCCTCCCCTCCCACTCATCTTTGTGCCGGGCTCGGTGCCTTGCCGAAAGTCCTGGGCCAGGCTGCTGGGCGGCCGCGGGTCGCTCCCTCGTCACGGCCCTCGAAAAAGGCACACTAAGCTTCACCTCCTCCCGTCGGCTCGCCCGCTGCCGCCCCCCTCCGCCAGCCAGAGGACCAGGCTGTCAAGGACACCATCCGCTTGATTGAGAATACCCCCTCCCCACAGCAACCACCCACCTGCTTGCCAGCTAAGCCGCCTCGGGAGCCCACATGGTGGCGTGACTCACGGCAACCCACGGGGGGAGGCAGATGAGCAAGTGCGGGGGTGGGAGCGGGCAGATGCTGTGCAAGGAGGCGCGGGAGCAGCTGGGATCGGGGCCTCCGAGGGGCCCGGGAAGCTGCACTAAACCTGTGCAAGGTACTGCATGCGAGTGTGTGGGGGGGGGTCACACTGAGCCCCCACCCTACTGCAGTGCTCCCCAGCCTGCCCAGGTGTGCTGGGTGGGGACTGCCATTGCCTCCGTTGTGCAGCAAGCCCAGCACACTGTCTCTGGCCAGGGGACAGCCAGCTGCCTCCCGGTGGTGGGAAGCTGGTAAACACGGAATGCATCTCACCCTGAGCACCCACTCTGTGTGTGCCCCCAATGCATTCCGCCCCCAAAGCCTGGTTTGGGATGAGCCACTTTGTCCCCTCAGCTGAATGAGGCAAGGACTGTACCACGTGACAGCACAGGTGAGCATGGCGGGGCAGTCAAGGAGGGGCTGGAACAGACCAGGCCTGGCTGGGGGAGACTGTGGGTGGGCTAAACCGGGCTGTTTGCAGCGCCTTCCCCGCTCTCTTTAAAAGCCCGGTGCCGGTTGCCAACGTGCCTGACCTCTCGGGGTCAAAAAGCGCCTGGTCCAAATCGGGAAGTGGGCAGACAGGACTTCAGCACCTTCCCACAGATGCACAGCTATGCGGGTGGAGAGCAGCAGGAGGCCTGCTCTTCCCCGTCATCACAAGACAGGGGTTTCATCTCCATGGAGACGTGCAAGTGAGGATCAGAGGGATCGCAGCTCCGCTGCGGGAGAACAGGATTCTGACCCCTCATCCACCGGGGAGCCACGTGCTGCTCTGGGGTGGGGCAGGGCAGGAGGCACCAGAACCTAGGCGGCAGGGATCAAATTCTCCCCCCCCCCCCCGGGCCCAGTGCTCTGCCTCTGGCTGAGGACAGCAGTGTGCTGGGGGGATCTAGCCCGGGGGATTCAGCTGTGGCGAGCACACGAGAGGCCCCAGCCTTGGCATGCCCGCTGGAGCAGGCAAATTCCCTCCAGAAGGCACTCCGAGTTTGCCTCTCGCTCGGGAGGATGTGTCTAGGCGGAACAGAGTCCTTCCCAACCTATAATCCTTGCTCCAGCTGGGCGCTTCCGACCTGGCAGCACACAAAGGGAGCGGTTTAACTCCTGCAGCCTCGAGGAGGGTCCCTTCGAACAGGTCCTCCAGGATTATCAGACTTGGACCTGCCTTCCAACGGATCAAAACAGGTTTCGCTTGGGACAGGCAGTAAAACACCAAGGCAGGCGAGACAAAAAAACACAAGGTAGCACTTGTGGGAGGGAGGAGAGAGGAGCCTCGAGCTTTCCAACTGCACCATCCCCTCGCTTTCCCTCCCCTGTGCAACAGGATCCAGGGACCCAATCCGGATTTCTGCAGCCCATTCGCACAGGAAGGCCAGCCCCATCACCGGCGTTGCTCTGACTGAACTACTGTTAGGAGAGAGAAAAAGAAGGCAGTTGCTGGATCTCAGGAACTGTGGAGGCGGAGGGCGAGAGGACCCCTTCTGGGAAGCAGGAGTCGACCCCCGGCCTGCAGAAACGGAGGGCTCCCCGGCAAAGCTCCGGGTGCCCCTTTGGCCGCCTTCCGCGCTCTGACAGTGCAAAACCTTCAGGGGCGTCCACCCAGCACAGCTTTACTCGCGCGGAAGCCCATTCGCTTCCGCTTGGGAGCGCGCCCCAGGGGCAGGTTTCGTTCCGCGAGCTGCGCCCCCGCGGGTACCACTCGGACCGGGCAACGGAACCAGAAAGCGCAGCGCACGCCTCGCACTCCTTTCCCTGCGCGCACCCACGCGCAGCACCATCATCCCTCCGGCACCGAAGACGTTCCGTTCCCGACTTCTTGAAAAGAGAGGAGGCACGGTGGGTCTCGGTTGTGGCCCGGGAAATGCGCTTTGCAGAATTGCGCTCCGGCGGAGGATTCCTCCGCTATGCAGAGAGGAGCTGCCGCCGCCTTTCTCACCGCCCCAGGACAGGACCCGCTCGGTTCCCCATTCCTCCGTCCCAGGCGCGCGCGCGCGCACACCCCTCGTGCAGAAGCAGAGCCCCCTCTGGTCTCGCCCGGGGCTTGCCCCTCGCCTCCAGCCCCCCGGAGCCCCAGCGCCGCCTGCCCTCCCCCCAAGTGTGGGGACGGGCCTCTTTCGTTTTAATTCCAACGGGGATAATGGGGGGGGGGGGACACAACCACCAGGCCAACCAGGGGCGATCCCGGAGGTCATTCAAAATCCGGTTCCATTTCCTGAAAAGCAGCCTTTAAAATCCGCCGTCCCCTCCTTATGCTTAAATCTGATTTTTATTCCGCCTCAGCAACAGCAACATCACGGGAAGACTCCCTGTACAGCCACCCCCCCCCCACCCCAGCATGCTTAATTACACAACTGGGTGATGGATTAAAGAACACAAACCGTAAATAAAAAAAGAGATACTTCTTTCCTTTTTAAAAAAATAAAACCCCCATCAACAGGACTGGAGCAAAAAAAAAGGGGGGGGGGTCAGAAATCATTCAATTTGCAAACGCCCCTTGATTCACGTCCTAATACGGGGGGAGGGAGGAAGCGATTCGCTGCCTCTCCTATTTTTAAATCTGAATTTTCTTTGGAAAGAAACATCTGACAAGCAAGTCTATGTAAGGGAGGAGGAGGAAGGAGGAGAGGAAGAGCATGCAGCGAGAAAGGCAGGCGCACAGAGGCTAGAAATCTGCCGAGCCAGCTTTTGCAAGAAAAGGCGAAACATGGATCCAGAAGGAAAAAAATGCTTGCGAAGGCAGACTCACCTAGCAGGACGCGCGGAAGAGAATGCTCCGAGGCGGATGAATGGGCGCTCGGGGGAGATGGAAAGCGCCGAGTCCCTCTTTCCCTCTCTCTTGGCACCTTTAATTTTGATTTATGGATCAAGAAAGCACGCTGGATTTATGAATGGGGAAGGGTCCCACCCACGTCGGAGCGCGGCCACGTGACCACGCATCTCGCACAACCGCAGGACGGGGCGACAGAGGGGGAGGGCGAGGGCGGGGCCGGGGCCAATGGAAGGAGAGCGGCTCGGGAGGGGAGGGGCCGGCGAGGGGCTTGGATCCATCGAGCGCAGAAATGCGCGGGCCAGGTGTCCCGCTGGAGGATGCGCGCCTGGGCTGCCCCCCCCCCACAGGTATTTGTTTCATGTGCCTGTGGGGGGGGGGCGTTGCGAGCGAGCGGGCTCCATTTTGCAAAGGTGTCAGAATGCGCGGGGGGGGGGGCATGGGCGTGCACGTCCGCGCGTGTCCACCATGCGAGCCCCCAGGCGCGTCTCCGCGCACCGAACTGCACGTTCGCTGGAAAAGGATGTTTCCCACGGAAACAGTGCCTGCCCCGAGGAGGCCCCACGGGCCCCTTTCCCCGGGGCTTCCTCCCAGGGGCATGAATTCAACAGCACCCTCTTGGACCCTGGCACGGAAGATCCGGAGCACAGGCACGCCCGAGGAGAGGAAGACCCAGGTTTGCACGTGCGAATGGACCCCAGCATTCACCTCTCTGCCACCCTGCGTGCAGTGCCGGCAGCCCATCTCCCAGGCTGGGGCGGGGCGGGGGGGGGGCTGTTTGCAAAAGGGATGGCCTGGTGATGGGAGAGAGGATTTCAAAACAGTAAATACATAAAGGCAAGGCGATTCAAGGTGGTGTGGAGCAGTTGTGAAAATGCACATGGGCTAAAGCTGGGCGATTCAGGGAGATCTGATGCGGCAAAGAACCTCGGGGCCGGCCCTTTCTCCCAGCAGTGCCCTGGACTGCAGGAGCTGCCAGAGATTCGGGCTGGCCATTACCTGGCAACACCTCCAGGTGTGTCAGCTGGGACGGCTGGGCCTCCTGTCTTGCACAAGGTGCTGGCCAGCCACTTGGACGGCTTTGACAGGGATTGGGGCAAATCGCAGAGAGAAAGGCCAACATGGCGACTGGTCGTCTTGGCCGGACTTCTCCGTGCTCCAGTTTCTCTCTGACCCTGCTTCTAGGCTTCCCCTTGGGGCATGCGGCCGCCGATCATGCTCAGCCCTTCCTGGGCTGTCTTCAGTCACCCTCCTCCTCCTCCTCCCGAAAAATGTTTTGCATTTCTGCAAAGTTTGGGTTGGCCTGTGCGGGCTGAGAACTCCTCCTCGTTTCTCAGTCGCCCTGCTTTGGACTCCCAAGTTGTGTTTGGTTCACCTATTAGAGGGAATGCCGATAAT